ACCTGGCCCTGGTATTTACCTGAGAACAGGTGTGGCTCATCAGAAGCCAGGTAGGATTGAAAACCGACTGGATAGTAGCTCTCCAGGACTGGAGTTGGAGACCCCTGGAATAGAGCATAACGAAACAAAACAGAAAAGAATAGAACATATGACAATAGAAGATAAGACATCAGAAAGAAAAGAAAGTACTAGGATATTTTTGGGAGTTTATAGACTCCATGACCTTGACTAGGAATAGCACACCCCGGACTCATAGCTCACTTAAAGAGTTCCATGTTCTTCCATTTTGGGGTTTGGGTTTCCAGCACAACTTCTCAGACTAAATGACACTTCGATCCATATGTGATTTGTAATCTGAGAAATCCTGATTGTGGTCTCTGTGCCTGATTCTCAGAACTTTATAGAGAACTGAAAAAAGGGGGTGACTTCTTTTAATAAAATGTAGAATCCACTCTGCAGGTGAAGAGGGGAGCAGGTTGAACCTGCCCTGCTTAATAGACATGGCGGTCCAGGTTGCTAATGGGATGTCCTACCTGGAGTCCAACAACAGCATCCACAGGGACCTAGCAGCACGCAACGTACTGGTGGGGGAGGACTACACCTGCAAAGTGGCTGACTTTGGCCTGGCTCGAGTCATCAAGGTCAGCACCGTGATGGACATGCAAAACTCAATCATCATACTGTATTGAACACAAAAGAAAGGATCACGTGTTAACCAGTAATGAAGGTGTGGCCATTACACAAAGCAAATACTGGCAGGGACAATGCCTCTGATTTTCAGAAGGCAAATTACTGATTAGAACAGCTAAGCAAGCCTAAGGGTTATAGTTGGTGGCGTAGCTGATAAATTTCAAAACACAAGGTGCCTTTATGACCATGTGATGTCAGAATTCAAGCCAAACTACTGAGTTTCCTCATAGCACAGAGTGAAACTGAAGATTACGATAAATATGTCATGTCCTCTTGGCTCAAAGTCAATTTGCCCTGTGCGCACAGCAAAAAAGGACAGACTTCCCCTCTGCAGGACTGAGGCAGTGCAATCACGAGCAGACAGAAACCATCCCGCTTTATGAATGTTACGAGTGTCATATGCTGTGCATTTTATTCCAACACTCAGTACATATAGTATCTGACTTCTCGTGGAAATGGTGTGTTTGCATAGTTGTGACCATCAGTTATGTTGATACTTGATATATTACAACAAAAAGCAAAAGTTTACTATGAAATAAGCTGCAAAAATAACCAAAGCGGTTATAACCAGTTATCAGTGCCTATTCTAGGCTGTGGTCCTCAATGCCTGATGGGTTTACAATCCATTCAGAGGCCTGTCGAGTCTGACTAACCAAAGCAGACTCTTAATGAAAAACTACATACAACTGAAGCATTTAATAACAAAATGGTTGCATCATATTGTCTGTGTCCTGGAAGATAGTAAAATTGGTTTTAGGAGATAATTTAAACTATAGTGATTAATTTTAGGTGCATGCAGTGAGGTGAGTGTTGAATTGCGCCATCGCATTTCTGCAGCAGCACCTGGCTGCGGCTCAGTTCCTGTCGCTCCTTTAGGCAGTATTCCCCTGCCTGCTGTTTCATACTCGCTTTGCTGCGGCCGTACCCTTGAGCACAGTGTTTAACTTTGAATACTCCCCCCACCGTCCCCCCAGGAGCCCTTTTACATCTCCAACACCAGGAAGCTGCCCTACAAGTGGACAGCTCCCGAGGCCATCTCCCACCAGCGCTTCTCCATTAAGTCGGACGTCTGGTCCTTTGGGGTGCTCCTGTACGAAATCCTCACCTATGGCGCGGTGCCCTACCCAGGTGAGCAGGGAGCACCGCACTCCAGGAGCTCATTACCTGCTGCGCTCCTGCCCATCTCTGACGTCCAGCCCTGACTTTCTCTCCTGTCCTGTAACGCCCCCTGTAGGTGCTACCAACACCGAGGCTTACAATCTCGTCAGCCAAGGTTACAGGATGCCTCCTCCACCCAGATGCCCTGACAACATCTACAAGATCATGCTATCCTGCTGGGACGCCGAACCGAACCACCGGCCCAGTTTCATCGCCCTTAGGTCCAATCTGAACCACCTCTCTGAAGCGGACTGAACGCAGGATATCCAGCATGACGGAAACGAGCACCATCAGGAACTTACTGCCGCAATAAAGGTACGAGAATGCTGCAGATCTGCCTGGGGCAATCAGGTGAGCAACACGAGATGGATTATGGATACAAGTGTGGAAGGAGATGATCTCCTGGCTCTTTGTCTCATGCTGATGATCTCAGAGTTACAGCAGAACGCAGACACCTTCTCAGAAATACTGGCAAGACACACATTCTGCAGAAGTGCCATTCCCATCAAATTACCGTCCTCCAGATTCAGCATTATTTAATGTGGTTGCCCAACAGTTGTGTTTGTTGGACCATCGCTGCCAAAAAGGTTTTTGGATGAAAATGCACATTTTTACACTTTCAAACTCTGTGACTGTTTTGCAAGGCATGTTTCATTTTTGCTTTAAAATGGCACAGTGGCTGGCCTGAGGATTTTGATGCCTTGTGTGAGCATTGAAACACTGTCATGAAGCACTGCACATTTCCAGGACCTTGATTCACTTTGGCATGGAAGTTAGGTCACATGAAGTTGACACCTGAATAAATGTAAGTTTTCAAAAAAGCCAGACAAAGCAGTATGTACCCTCATTATGTCAGAGACGGGTGTGTGTGTATATAAATACAGACGCTCCTCTACTTATGAACTTTCAACTTACGAACTTTCAGACATACGAACAAATAGGACTGTAAGTCCAAATTGTGTTCATTGGGCTCCCGTTTCCTGTCCACAACATCAATATTTTTTTTCTGCGTGTCAAATCCGCCTAGTACAACTTCTGCCCGCTACTCTCGCCGCGCATATGTGAATTATGTGTATATATGTGAATTAAAAAATAATAATACTGAAAGCAAAACACGTGCCAGTGTTTTCTTTCTCTTAGAAGAAAAAGTGCTCTTTAGATCTTTTTGTTCTCATATGAAAAAAGCAGCTTACACGATGCAAACGTTGTAATCATAACAGTGTTGTATGGGTTCTCCCCTCTCACTAGGTAGTGATGTGCAACTATTCCCTCGCCAGATTGTTGCCATTGCTGTTTAATTTCTTGACCTCTCACCATTCCCCAGAGCCGTTGACCATCTCGAAGTGGTCTCTGGCTTGGTTTGTCCTCCTTACCCTCTGGAGAGTCAGGCTCCTTGCGGCATAGTGATCGGCCGTGTCTGTAGGCTACGGCTGTCAAAATTAACGGGTTAACGCGGATTAATCCATCATCATGATTAATCTGATTAAAATTTTTAACGCAATTAACCCATCTGCAGCGCAGAATGACTCATAAAAAAATCTAAATTTCCAATAGTGCGGAAAAGTTGTCACTGGACCTCGTTATTAAACGTGCAAAATGTCTTTGAAATATGTTAATATTTTCAGGTTCCGCAACACGATCAAAGTTTTCACCTGTCACATCAATGCGCAGATCCACGCTACGTATTTTCCATATCATAGCACAATGTAAAACTGTTCCAATTTAATACAAGAATCTAACAATCAGTCAGTGACAATGAGTAAGTGGGAAACAACTCATTCAGAAATGTGGCACTCAGGAGCATGCTTACACTGACAGACTGGCAATATACACTATCCATTATCTATACCACAGGAGCATGCTTACACTGACATACTGGCAATACACACTATCCATTATCTATACCACTTATTTATCCATCTAGGTCTTACCAAAAGTATTGAGACACCCCTCCAAATCATTGAATTCAGGTGTCCCAATATTTTTGGTAATATAGTGCATCTAACCATTTTGACTGTCATGCTTAATACTTTTCATTTTGGTGGCACTGAGGAACAATTTTACATTGTGTTATGATATGGATGATACGTAGCGTGGATCTGCGCATTGATGTGACACGTGATTAATCGTAATGCACGTAGAGCCGCAGAGCGATGTAATGTACTGTATGTGTATGGCTGATACCCAGTAAAAATCTGCGTTACCTGAACGTTGGTATTTTGTAGTGATTATCATGTTGTGAAAGTGCACAAACACAACACCGATGAGTATAGATAATGGATAGTATGTATTGCCCATTCATTGGCAATCAATGGGCAATACAAAAGAAGTGTGTATTGCCCATTCATTGGCTAAGTTAAATAGTTGCACAGTAGGACACCAGTATATACTGGTGCACAGTATATAATAATGGATGGATGGATATATGTATGCAGAAAGTTGACAAAGTGATTAAAATCCAAGAACAACAAACAAACATTTTAATTTACTCCAGTTGTCAACATATGTACAAAATTTCAAATAATGGACAAGTATACAGCCCATCAGTAATAACCACTGTTAATAAGTCCAGGTATAACAAGCTGTGTTTCAGATGGCAATTTTGATTAACACAGAGCAGGCAGCTGTTAATCTAAGCTTCCATTAGTTTTAAATTCCCAAAACTGTTGCAATCTTTACATTTGCATAAACAAAGCTATATGATTATGAGGGATTATAACAATCGTCTTATGTTACTGTAAAAGTGCATTTACAAATTCGCAGTCTGTGACTGTAAAGGCTGTAGAATCATTTCCTTTCTGTAGGAGAAATGTGTCAAAGTCACTCTTGTGTAGAGTCTCTCACCATGCTGAAGGGACCAGTAAAAGGAGTAAGTGAATTTAGCCAGGATTATTGTGCAGATTATCTGTGCAATCAGTAAAACTGTGTAAGATATCATCCGTGCCTTACATTCAAAGGTAATGTGCCTGCTTTTGATTGTGTAGAAGGATGGATAGGAATAGGATGTGTTCATACAAGCAAAGGTCTTCTGCATTGACTGAGATTGCACAGGTTCTCTCTGGGTTGTAACAAAAAAACCTGTTGAAGCAAGGCCAGCTGAAGGGTACTTCTCCGTGGTGGTTACTGGGAGAATGGTGGTATTTGTCAAAGTGCTAAGCAGTGTTGAAGTTGTAGGCGTAGTTGTCAATTGCATCGTTCCCATTGTTGTTGCCGTAGTTGCAGCGGTTGACGTGGCTGTCAATTGCATCGTTCCCATTGTTGTTGCCGTAGTTGCAGCGGTTGACGTAGCTGTCAATTGCATCGTTCCCATTGTTGTTGCCGTAGTTGCAGCGGTTGACGTAGCTGTCAATTGCATCGTTCCCATTGTTGTTGCCGTAGTTGCAGCGGTTGACGTGGCTGTCAATTGCATCGTTCCCATTGTTGTTGCCGTAGTTGCAGCGGTTGACGTGGCTGTCAATTGCATCGTTCCCATTGTTGTTGCCGTAGTTGCAGCGGTTGACGTGGCTGTCAATTGCATCGTTCCCATTGTTGTTGCCGTAGTTGCAGCGGTTGACGTGGCTGTCAATTGCATCGTTCCCATTGTTGTTGCCGTAGTTGCAGCGGTTGACGTTGTGGGTGTGGGCGTGCTGGGTAATTCACTTGTCTGTGTAATGATGGAGGTTGTAGCTGCAGGGATTGTGCTTGTGAGTTTGACTGAAGGTGTTGTTTTTAAGGTGGTGTAAAACATGCTGACTGTTGTGGTGGGAGGCAAAGTAGACATGGTACATACCAGCTGGTCCTCTTTTAGGGACGCAATACTTTGTCCTTTTAAATGTTCTGGGCTTGTGCACTTAAGACTAGAAAATTTATATATAATTGACTTTTTTAGTTTCATCCATTGGAAGAGAGGTATGAACTTGCAGTCACAGTTCCAAGGGTTTTTATCCAGATGAACTCTCTTGACAGAAATAGAGTCAAATATTCCTTTAGGGAGGTTTTTCAAATTATTATGGGACAATTTAAGGGTGTCAAGGTTTTTGACTTCTGCTATAGTGCCAAATACATCTTTTGAAAGGGCAGTGAGTTTGTTTTTACTGAGATCAAGTTCCGTTATGTTTGGCATCATCCCAAAGAGAAAAGGAGGAAGACTTACTAGTTGGTTGTTTTGAAGTCTTAATGTTTTCAATGCAGAAAGATTCATAAATATCTCATGAGGCAATTCAGTCAATAGATTATCTTCCAAATATAATTTCTCCAAATTTGGTTTATTATAAAATAGTTTTGGGGGTAGAACACTGATTTTGTTGCCCTGTAAAGCAATCTCTTTAAGATTTGTTAGGTTACTAAAGATCTCATCTGGAATGATGCTAAGCTGATTCTCATAGAGTCTGATGACTCCTAATTTACTCAGTTTTTCAAACATCTCTTTGGAGACAGAAGTGATGTTATTCTTGCCCAAATGGAGCGTTTGTAGGCCATCAAGCTGATCGAAAATTCCTTCATCAATTGAAACAATTTCATTCATGTTCAGAGCCAGTTCCATCAGTTTTCCAAGACCATCAAAAAGTCCTTTTTCCAAAAATGTTATTTTGTTGTTTTTTAAAACAAGCTTCTCTAGGCTCTGCAGATCCTGAAAAGCTCCCAGCGGAATTGATGTTATTTGCGTATCTATAATTTCAATTGTCTTCAAGTTATGTAAACCTTCAAATGCACCTGCCTCGATGGTTGTGGTAGGAGTAGAAAGGAATTCCAGGTCCTCTATCTGAGACATATTGATGAAAGCTCTTGGCGGAATGCTGAATATTTTGCTTTTGTAAAAGGATATACTAGTGATGTTGCTGTCCAAAGTATCTGGGATTTTGGTTACAGTGGCCTTGAAGCAAACTTCATTGGCTTCACTTCCACAACACAGGCACACATCATACAACACAGGCAGAAGGAGAATGTAGATTTGATAATTCATATTTGCCTAAAAAAGAAACATAAAAGTGTATTTAGTAAATTTAAATTGACAATACCAAGCTTATACTAGCAATCAAACAACAGCTTAGGGTGTATTTGATTACTTCAAGAAATGTTATGTTTGAAGAACTTGGCACAACGGGATGAGCTGAATATATTGTTTGATAGACATCAACATTTTGTCCGAGAAATCTGAATGTACACTGAAATCATACTTCTCATGTCAGTGAGGTCAGCATAACATCCTAGATAACAAAACAATCATCCTTTAATGTGAATGAAATTTCATCATCTCACATGTCCAGAATAATAACTGCACTGTATGTTCCCTCCTGATCTCCTTACACATCACTGCTAGTTAGAGTGACATCAGCACCTGGATGGGCAAACACCCTGTAACTGAGGTGTCTGAGACAGAGACACTTTCATCCCTGCCTGTGCTTTGCACAAAACGGTCGCGTGATTATGTAAAATCATTTAGATTGTCTTGGAGGAGAACACTCGCCACCACATGAACATAAAACCAAATGATAAAACAAATGGGAAGGAAAACCTTATATGGTTTTTCTAAAAGCAACGAAATCAGATTTTATTCGTATCTCCTTGACAATCTGGTTCAACCTTTAAAAAAAAAAGAATTCTGTTTGAACTGCAGCCTCTGCTCTGTGAGTATGAGGCTCCCCTTCCTCAGTCCATAGACATGTTGATAAACTCATTTGTGAAGCAAGCTGGCCTGTAGTATGCAACTACCATGGTGCATGACCATGTGTGTCATGTTGAACATAATGGGGGATCTAGAGCCTTTGGGTCTAAGGCAGGGAATAACCCAGGATGGGGCACCAACCCATCACAGGGCACACTGACACCTAGGGACAATTCAGTAACTCTAACCACATGTTTCTAGACTTTGGGGGAAACTGGAGTACCCAGAGAAAACCCCAAGTTGACACAAGGAGAACATGCAAACTCCACACACACAGAACCATGGCAGAGGCTCAAACCCCAGTCCCAGAGGAGTGAGGCAACAGTGCTAAGCACTGCACTACTGCGTCACCCCCTGCAGAAAGTTGTAAGTTTAGTAAATAGAAATCCACAGTACCAATTATATACCAGCACCCTAATGACAACTGAGTTTTATTAAATTATTTCAAATATGCTAATATGGTTTTTTAAGTATGCCATGTCTGCACAAGTAATTATCTTCCTACATTACAGGAAATATTTAAACACAGATTTATTTTGGCAAAGAAACACATACTTTTGTAACTTTTCCTCTGAAGAAATTCATAAAAACTCATCATATCAAATGAAGGACTCGTCTTACCTGTAAGTTTAAGTCTCTTGCAGTTAGCTGACCACTTTAGCAGATGGAGAAAAAGAGACAGAAACTAGCTTAATATGAAGTTTCACGTTGATATCTGCTTATCTTCCAAAGCAGTTCTCGAGTTCTGCACCGTCTCGTCATATTATCTAGTCCCTACCCTTCTGCTATTAGAGATAAGCAGAAGTTGTTGTTTCTGTGGTGCGTGCCTGCACACTAGTTACGTTCACATACACACTAGCATTTTGGAATTAACCTCAGTACACTGAATATTATTGACTCACAAATGCACATGTGCATATTGACACATTGTTACTTGATCATTTCCATGGAAAACCTTTTTCGTTTTAGAACTACTGGGCCTTGCTAAAGTTTGAGTGTTTTACTACTTTTTGCAGCAGTAACTTGAAGTAATCGTTTTCTGTATGACTATTAGTCTCTCACATTGTTGTAGAGGAATTATGGCCACTCTTCTTTACACCATTGCTTCAGTTCATTGAGGTCTGCGGGGATTTGTTTATACACAGCTTTCTTAAGGGCCTGCCTCAGCATCTCAATAAGGTTGTGGTCTGGACTTTGACTGGGCCATTGCATCTCCTCGATTATTTTCTTTTTCAGCCTTTATGTTGTAGATTTGTTGGTGTGCTTGGGATCATTGTCCTGTTGCATGACCCAATTTCAGCCAAGCTTTACCTGTTGGACAGATGGCCTCACATTTGACTCTACAATACTTTAGTGTACAAAAGTGTCAGGGTCAGCCCCTGTTGTCTCACTATGTGTCCCTTCCCCGTTTGACCAGCAGGCGTTGCTGGTCATCCCATCCTTCATGTTAGTCTTTGTGTTTTTCCCCCCAGTTCTATGTTGGCCTCATGGCTCAACATGTTGAGCAGCCAGTTGTCGAAGTACCCTTCTGTCCTGTGTTTGAATCCCACCACCTCTGTTTTTGTATTTTTGATCCTTAGTGTTTCATTTGAGTTTCTCTAGTTCTTGTCTTTGATTTTGTAGTTGGTTTTTGTTTTGTTCCTTGTGGCCCTGCTTGTCTTTACCTGTCTGTAATTCTCCAGTGTTGGTTCCTTATTCCTTGGTTAGTTCTTAGTTTCCCTGTTTTTGGTTCCTTTGAGTTTATTAGTTACACCTGTGCCCTGTTTCCCTGGTCTTTGTTAATTAGCCTCACCTGTCCTGTGTTAGTCTCGTTACCCCTTAGTATTTTAGTTCCTGCTTCTGTTCAGTTCCCTAGTGGTTCATTGTTGTTGGTTTGTTGATTGTGTTTTGGTGATTGTCTTGTGAGGCTAGAGCTGTATACTGCTTACCTGCCCAGTAGTGATGGCAAAACGAAGCTTTCCAAAGCACTGAAGCTTCCTTTTCAAGTCTGTTGAAAAATGGTTCAGTACTCGAAGCCTTCCGAAATGGTGACCATTAGTGACACCAAGTGGTCAAATAAGGAAATAACACTTAATTTTGAGTGAGTGCAGTGAACCTGAATATTTATAAATTGGCAAAAATTCTAATGGTCTGTAGTGCGTCATG